CGTACAGCTCATGGGAAGCGTCCATTGCAAATCGGCTATCCAGGATCGACTGCGAAACAGATAGAGACTTTAAAAAAAAAAAAAAGAACGTTCAGTCTGAGGCAAATGCAGTGCTGAAACTGCAAAGTCCCTACTATCTACACTATTTTCCCCTATTCAGCCGAATACCTATGGGTTACATCATTATTATTCTGATCGCTGCCTATTCTACCTTATTTAGCTAAGTGTGCGATCCGCACCATCAACCCCTACCCTAGTGCCAGTGTCAGAATACAGGTTAAGGGATAGAATTACTTAGCGTACCCGAATCGTCGAGAAACCTGTTTCCGGACTCCCTATACCCCCCCCCCCCTCTTCCAGATGTGATTGCCCGCCTTGTCAAAGTGACAGCAGCTTCCACCCCAATAGCCTCTCGTCGCATCGGCCTCGCTCGGAATCAATTCTTCTTCAAGCCCATGGGCACTCAATGCTTTCTTATTATGTGAGTATTGGGGGAGAACGGTATGCTGTTCAGTAAGTTCATGAAGCGGAACACTATTGGTGTAAAATGGGGGAGGCGTCAAAATCTTCCACCAATTAGACTACCACACCGCACGAATTACCAAGCAAATCGAAGGGAAAAGGAGCTCCGGCCTGTCCAAGGCGCCAGGCACTATATATTAACAACCAGGTTCTGGAGCCCTCCCTCCCAGAGCACCGGACTAGTAACGTATTCGACCGGAAGGTGGATCAGAGGGAGAAGTGAGTCAGTTAAAATCCACTAGGAGGAGGAGGAAATTCAGAAGGGTCGGAGATATTCCCAAAAGCCCGCCATGTCAGATTTCCCCTTTTGTGAACTGAATTTCGGGGGTATATGAGTGGTTTTGTCGAAAATCCTGTGTCGGGACAATTTGAGCAAAGATCAAGTAATTTTCGCTCGACATCTGACCCCCTTCCCTGTCAAATACGATCACCCTCATGTAAACACCGTAAGCCCGGTAAACAAAAACGTCTTGAGCACTGTCATGGCTAGTTAGCCGCAATCCCCCTTCGCGTAGAAAGGTAATCGAATATCGACCGGGAAATATGCCATCGGGGGGGTGGTGGCCTTAGCAAGGGGTCGTCGACTCACCTCACCTCACTTTACCTGTAGCTCTTTGTAAAGCAAAGTAAGAAAAAAGGAAGGAAAACACAATTAAACAAAAGGGAAAGAAAAATCTAAAGGCTTAAGTCTCCCAGAGCTAGAACACCTTCTCCCTCTACGTTTGTCCACCATCGGATCGAACCCTGTATCCCTCGTGGTCCGCTTCAAAAATCGCAGGAAACTTCCTATTCCAATCCCAAAATCTGGACCCGCAGCATATATGGTAGCCAGTCCGTGCCTGCGATCCCTACAAACTCACGACCCCCCTTTTCGGACACTCATCCCAGGCGGGACGTATCCGAAAAATGCCAGTCACGAGTTTATCTAGGGTGCTCAAATAATAAACGCATGTTCCGCCATGTCTATTCAGAATCCCCGCTTCCAAACACACCTTGACCGGAACCAGCGCGGCCTTGCCAAGGCTTGCGCCGGTCTCATCGCTGCTCGAGCATCAGAAGCGGCATTCAACCCCGGCGTCGACAAAAGGGTTTTTCGAGCGCCAGGATGAGAGTGGATCTCCCAGTTCCGTTGAGTACGATACTCGAGCACAGTAAAGTACTCAGCCTGTGATAGACAAGGCGTTTCACACCAACGTCCCTCAATGACGAGGAACCTACGGTGGAAAAAAGAAAAAAAAAGCTCGCATAACTCAAACGGTTCCCCAACGCCGGGGCTGAAATCTAAAAATGTTTCAGTGATTTCTTGGCGAGGGAAAGGGGAAAAGCAGGGCAGCGGCGGATCAGGGGGAGGAAACACAAATCAGGTGATTGAGAGCCAATCCTATAAAAAAAATTTAAAAAAAAATCGGTAGCCAACCGGAGTGGATTGTATACCCTAATGGGAATCTCTTTAGATTGCTGATTTCCTTCTATACGGTACAAGTAACTCAATCGCGGTATGATGGCAGCGGAGATGGACGATACGCTCACCAACGGAACCACACTATGACTCGCACAATTCCCGCCGTCGTACCGCAGCTGCTGTACGATAGACACACTTACCGTATGTCCTTGCACGAGCATGATATGATACTTGTAAAGCCCTGCTTTGTATCATACCCTATCGTACCCGCACCGCACCATACCGTAACTCCTCACCACCATCGATCGAAAAGCCAGGTGCGGCAAACCACGGTATCGTAAACCCTCGCACGTGAAAAACAGGATGCAGCAGCATATTCCCGAATTCTTTGTACGATCGTACCCGTACGCGTACATTCCGGTATTACTGCACATGTACTCGAGTACTCGTACAGTACCAGTACGAGTACAGCTTCATGTTAGCATTGCCAATCTCCTTGTCCCTCCCCAACCCCCGCCAAGCACATACATTCAAAGCGGATCAAAAACAAGGCAAGAGTTTATACTTGTACAGTCTAAACCCCTGAAGGAAGATCCCCCAGGATCCCTGGCTGCGCAGTAAAGGAGTAGGAGTACAGACCCTCACGGCTAAATAGTGTGACCGGCGGGCACAACCTGAAAAAAAAAAAATTCCCATAGAGTACCCGTACTGTACCTGTACTGTACCGTAGCTCACCACGAGTTTACATTGTATCCCCGCAATTCCAGCCAAGCTCTCAAACAAAACAAAAAATCTACAGTGTATCACACAGTGCAGTATCATACTCGTGCAACAAGTACTCGTACAGTACATGTGCTCGTATTCATGTACCCCATATTTTCCACTCCCGGCCCCGGACGTGCATTCCAAGTATCACACATACGAGTTTACCGTATGTACTCGAGCACTGTAACAAAGCCTTACACGTGAACCGTACTGTACCACCAGTAGTACAGTACACGCAAGCACGATTGCACCCAAACATGCACGAAAGCACGCACCACCACCATCTCCCCCTAAAAAAAAAAACGTCCGGCGCGTTTCGGGTAGAAACTCTGGGGTACCCCTGCCTGCCTTCATCCACAATACCGTACTACTAGCTATCGTACAGTATTTGTATGGTATCATGGTCCTCCCCGACCACTATTGCCAAAACCGGGACAGGCAGATGCCAAAAATAGACGGAAAGAAGGGGAGGTGTGGGGGATGGATGAACGGATGGTACGCCATGTTCATCTGATTGATTTTCTCGACTTTTTCGATTCTCCCCTCTCCTTTCATATCATATTCATACTTCCATAGAAACCTCGGGTAACTTAACTTGATGCTGGGGAGGAAGGCTTGAAGGCGCGGCGGGCGGTCATGCGCTTGCCTGGTTTCATGGGGGCTCACTCGGCGGGGGTGGGGCTTGAGGCGAGTCGGGTTCTATCGTGCTGTGTGGGTCCGGCTAGTCTGTGTTCGCGATAATAGGGGCAAGTGTTATCTGGTCTGTCTGCGTACCGGAGAGGAACTGTTGAGGATTGGTCGCCCGCGCACCACTGCTGGCGAGACCTCTTCATCATACCGCTCCTGATTTTATCGCGATGGATCCCGGATGGATCCCGAATGCCGCGGAATGGCCGGGCGGAGGGGGCGAAAAACCGTGCGATACCCCTCCCCCCACCAAGCTCAACTAACTAACGCCTTACGGCAGATCACCCGTGCCCAATGGCCCCGCCGTAAGAATGCGCTCCATGGACCGAGCGTCATGCCATATCACACCGAGCTCTCTGGTCGTCATTATCCTTCCCCGAATTTTCCCTATTTTTCTCCCGCCCAGTATTGCACATGCATGGCCGGATCGGGATCCCATAACCCAGTGCATGCCCCGTTCCGTGGGAATGGCTGGCCGGTGGGGCACCGGTCCTCCCCCCAGAAGAATGGTTAGGCGGCGTGGAGGATCGGAGAGGGAGCTCTAGTGACTGGTGGGACATCTCATGCGCGAGTGAGTGGCCATGATCACAGCAACATCAAGGACAGATTTTTCGGCAGGTGCGAATCACAATTGTACAAAACCGAGGAGTTTGTGGTCCGACGTGACTCATTTGCGAAGAGAGCTATACACCTCACAGAACTAATACGCAAAACTAATTAACCAATGCAGCAGCGCTGACAAAGTCATAACCTAATTGGCTATCCACCAAACAATGACCCCCATCCACACAAGTTCGATGACTCAACTCACTGAACCACTATGCCAGATAGACCGCAACAAACAGCCCCCTTCTCTTCGCCATAGCTATTATAGCCAACCGAGTAAAACTAAAACTCTGTACTGTACAGCAAACTATACACCTCCCGTAAAAATAAAATAAATAATCGCCAATGGCGAATACAAAAGTAGAGTTGGAAGGAAAGGGAAAAAAAGAACTGAGAGAAATGAGGTCTCCACCGTATAAAACCATGCTCCGCACCTTCCCTGTCCATCCCCCATTCTTTTGTGCTCCGATCCCCTTTTGTTAAACAAAAGAACAGATAAAACGCCCACCAGAAAAAAATAGACAAAAGGAAAGAAGGAAAGAAGGAAGCGTGCAATAATACTCGCTTCATTCTCAAAAGTTTGGTATGGGGGTGGAGGAAGGGACGAGTATAAAAAAAAAAAGATACAACGAAGGGAAGAAGGAATTCTCAATATTGACAATGAAGTAAGGTAACTTGGTAGGAGGATGGTGGAAACTCGGGAAGAGCGATCGCGGGAGGTGGCAGGAATATAAAATGCAAGTCCCAAAGGGTGGAAAGAGGAGAGAACCAATCTGCTAAAACTCCAACAATGTAAATGCCAATGAGGTGCTAGAAGGGAGACTAATACTCGCAAGACGATAAAAGCCGGATCATCAAAGGTATATAATAAGGTCTTTGAAAACGAGAGGCCGCCCGGAGAAGTAGAAGGGGAGAGATATCAGAGGAAAGAAAGACAGGTATCATAAAATTTGGCCAAAGGGGATGATGCGTAAACCACCAACACCGAAAAAAAAAGAAAAAAAGTAGCCATAAATTCCGACCGACGCTACGTGGTCACCGAATTGGACCTGGATCTGTCGCTCTCCAGCTTTGTCCATTCCTCCCCATCGGGGAGCCCGGTGGCCTCCAACCCCCCCTCCCAAACAGTAGAGCCCTTCCTCCCGAGACTAAAGCTGGTCCTTGTAGAGCTTATGGAACCGGAACTCCCTGGTGGCCTGACAAGCCCCGCATCAGATAACGAGGCTTTCCTATCCCCATCGTAGAATGCAGCTTCAGTGGTATCAGTGAATTGAGCCGGCTCGGGGTGCGAAGCCTGATCGCCGAATATTGATGCCCCGTCTCCGGAAAGTCTTCTTACCGACCCGTTAGAGCTCCCAACCCTAGACTGTGGTGGTTTTTGAAGCACCGCTGAATGGAAAAATGGCACAAAATCCTCAAATGAGTCAGACTTTGGTCGAGGGAGTGTACCCTTGATCGAGTCTGTTTGGATGCCGTGAGAAAGAAGAAAGTTCGTCAACATTTCAATAGCATCTCGGAGAGCTCCAGCATTGTCACGGGTGTAAGTGAAAGTGATTTCCACATAATCGTCTCCACTACCGGACCTCCTACCACCGGGGGACTCGCTAGCATAGTCAATCGATGGCTGAGGCCGAATCCCGAACTGTGTGTCCATTCGATCGGCGATGTTCTTTTTGAACTCATCTTGCTGCAAAAGTTCTTCCAGCTCCGGGGAACTCTTCAAGCGGATTATATGTGTTTCCGGAACAAGGGCCTGCAAAAATAGTCAGGGGCGCAAATGATCGACTAGTCACGGGAGCACTTACCAAGACCTCATGAACCGCATGAGGAACCTGCCATTGAGGCCCCTTGATGGTCACGATGTCACTCGCCATTTCCGTACTCGGAAATATGATTGTACATCCCCACTTGTGCTCCAAATCATCTAGGACCTTGCGATTCGCCATCAGAGTACGATGCAGCAGTCTCGGGATGTCAACATGCTCCTGTACGATATCAGCATCCGCGCGCTGTACCATGCCCATAATTTCTGATTTGACCAGCTCAAGGTTGGCCGCGTTTCTAGCCGGCGTCCTACAGATGACGTTGTCCACCTTTGAGCCATCGGACTCCGACCTTCCACTTGTCCCCCTCTCCATAGCATTCGAGAACTTGACGAATACAGAGTATTTTTTCATTATCCTCTGGATATGCTGTCCACCGATGCCAATAATTCGCTTATGGTAAGAGTCCGGAACATGGAAGGAGACAGCTGCCGGTAGCTCCTGCTCAACCAACTTTAACCCCAACATGGTGGTGTCGAACTTTCCACCACAAACATCGATAAAGAAATTGTACTCATTGAAAGTGTCAAAGATGATTTGGATGTTTGACTGGCTCATAATCTTGTTGATCTTTCCATTCTTTTTGCCAGAAACAAACTCCTTGTGCTCGTTCGCCAGCTCAATCTTTACCCGGATCTGATATGGGTTCTCCTTCACGAAAGGAACATCGCTCAACATGTGCATTGCCGCCTTGACATTCTCATCCGATCCGCTGAATTCGAATACTTGTTTGTTGAAAGCGATCGAAACACCCGTGAAGGCTGCCACGTCGATCAGGAGCTTCTGCACCTCGAGGGGCTTGGGCAACAAGCGAGCAATTGGCGAATCCATAACCCACCATGAGGCATTGTAATACTGTCCACAAATGACCATAATCGCCTTGATCGTGCGCTCCAGGTGGAGAGTCTCGGTGCCCTGTACGCGAATCAAGCTGGCCGGAGATCCCAGAAGGGGAAATTGGACAAACGTCCCATTTGCATCCATGATTTTCTTCACATCATCTAATCTCTGAAGAAGGATATAGTCAATCTTGGTAAGCGTTACAGAAACGTCCTTGACGAATATCCTCATGTTCACAGCCTAAACAAACAGTTAGTCCTGAGGTCTGCCTGTCAATCCCGGGAAGATTATACGGAAGTTACCAAGTTGAGAAGCATTCTCTCCGCTTTGGCGATGTCTTCACGGGAGCTGCCGGCGATGAATACCTGGTCGGGATCGCGCCGGGTGCCACCCGGGGGTGAATACCCGTATACTTGGGGAAATGGAGGAGGAAAGTAGATGGCGGTCCTCGTGGCAGATTCAATCAATTTGACATTTTTGCGCGCACGACCGCAAATAATGCTCTGAAGGGACAGCTCTATGAGCATAGGGACGATTTTTTGTCCCAGCTAGAAGGGTGCATGAGTTAGACAACTTCGGACGATAGTGGAAATGAAACAACCACCACGGTAGCAAAACCAAACTCACCAAATCATCAATCATGATCAGAACCCTAGTCTTGGCATGCTCGACGCTCTCATAGTCTCCGAAAATGCTGATCTTCAACCTCCTGTTTTGACTAGCCTCGGAGCCCTGGTCCACCGCGACGATCGAGGTCGGTTCGGGAGGCTTCAGGACAAATATGTCCGTTCCCGTAAACTGAGCAATCCTCTCCAAATGAACCGTGATCCGTGGATTTGGCACGCCCTCCGAAATGTAGTACTGATCGTGGTCAATGTTGACACAAGACCTCCGCTACCAGGAGAAAATTATTAGCAACCGCACCCCAAAACCTGCCATGACAACGATCGGTCGAGTGAACCACCTACCATCGCAACCGGCACGCTCTGCAGAATGAAACCCCGAGTCTTATGAACCTCAGCAGGCTCCCCCGCGATCCACAATCCCACAGAAGTTGTCGGCTTTTTCCTCAAGGCATTCTCAGCCGTCAATTCCGTCACGGAGACCGTCGTCCTGGCTACCAGCCCCGGAGACAATCTCTTGCACAACTCCTGGACATCGTTGATGCTCCTCTGGTGCACAGGAAGCCTGCTTGTCGGAAGGTTGGGGGGCGAGTCGGGCGGATGCAGCCATCGCTCCCTCGCTTGGGCGGTGGCTAAAACTATTTGATCTGGATCCGGACCCGGTATAAAGGAGAAAGGAATTGAGAATGCGTAAGTGAGCGATTCGAGTGTCGAGTTGTCACCATCGGATGTAAGCATGTCGTTGTCACCCATGGCATCGGAGATGTTGGAGGAAGAAGTGACGTCGAAAGTCGGTTTCTGTGGAAGGACATGATGAATGCCACTGGTCAGACCCAAGGTAGTGGCCATTGTCGAGAAGTCTTTGTTGAAGTGTGAAGGCGACTCTTTAAACACACACACACACACTTCCCTCGAGTTTGTCGAAGGAGGATTGGAAAAGGATTGAGAAGAGACGACACGACTTTCAAAGCGTGTTTGGGTGTAAGTATTCGCTAGGGTATATTAGCGGGCACGCCGTATCTTTGTCGTATCGATTAGGAGTCTCGACAATGACGGCAATTGCAACCGGAGATCAAACACCCCGGAACAAATGATGGATAAGTAGCGAAGAGAAGCGGGAAAGTAAGAAGAGTCGACCAGAGAAAGGGTATGAAAATGAACAAAAAAAAAATTGTATATAAAACGGGAAACACGAAGGATAATAGGAGGACGGGGAGGACCGGCGGTGGGCGAGAGAGGTAGCGAATAATCCGTTTTTTGTGAAGAGAGAGGAAAAGCGAAGGGAAAGGAAGGAGGAAAGGGAAAGAAAAAAAGCCTGGGTGACGGGGTTTAGATTGTGGGTTCGGTGGTGATGGATGGATTGGTAAAAAAAAAAAAGTTTGGCTAATGCAGTGGTCTCGCAGCAACAGCAGCCAGAAAGAAAGAAATACTAGGGCGTGTCAGGCCAGGAGAGCAATATATGTGGAGAAAGCAGTGCAAACTACCGAAGGCCCAGTGGACTGAAGTTCAGTGCGCCGTGCTGAACCGTACCGGGACCGATGATACACCCTCTCTCTCACACAGACAGCACACGTACACAATCACTTCCGCACACCTCTGGCCTTGCAGTTGATGTTGATGAAGGAAGAAGAAGAAGGGGACGGGGGCAGGAATGGAGCAAGAGTAGAGAGAGAAAGGCGGGTAGGTAGCAAGGAAGATTGTTGTAGTGGTGCTACAACCAAAACGTCCACCTCAACGGATCCGGAGCGACAGGAAAGTGCGCTTTGAGTGATTGGGGTGGAGTGAAGAGAAGTGAAGAAGTGAGAGGAAAGGACAGGAAAATGGCGGGAGGGTCGCAGAACAGAAACCAAGAGGGGATACGGAGGGCAATTAAGAGAATATATAGCTATGACCGACGAGGCGGGGAGAGAGCGTGAAGAATAGGCCAGATTGATAGAGACGAGCTCGAACCGTCAATAGTGACGACTGAGGGAGAGGGAAAAATAGAAGAGGAATATCGCCTCGACCTCGCAAGAATCAACCAAACCCAACGGGAAAAAATGGGGAAAGGCAGTAATTAATTAATTTAACGACCAATTGACATCTCAGCGTCACCGATTAGAGCGACACACATGTCCAACGGCAGTAACCCGCTAACGCCCGCCGCCGTCGCCTGCTTCTGTTTCTGCTTCTGCTGCTGCTAAGGTGCGGTACGGGTACCATACTGTAGGTTGGACCAAGACTTTGCTGCACCGAGTTCCACATCTTCCTGCAAGACCGCCGCAGTAGTTCCCAGTACAATAGTGGTAAAGAAGGGACCGCCGCGGGCGAGCATGACACTGAACCACCGACAGCCGTGGATAGAGGGAGAGGGGGGGGGAGACGGACGGACAGCTTGACAGACAGACATACGGCACTACCGGTATACCGGCACTGGCCTGGCTCTGTCCCCGAGCCGTGATCGGTTACCGATTCCCCCTTTCGCGCCGGGCCCTCTCACCTTCCATCCCATCTTGATAATGCGTCCCCGTTGACGCGAGAAGGGAACCAGGACCACACTGCATAAAAGGGAAATTAAGAAGAAGAAAAAAAAAGGAAGCTAAACCGGAACGATCCCAACGTATCATAACCTAAACCCATCATACTGGTATAAATTTAAAAATAAATAGAAAACGCCCTCACTCGTTGACTGACTCGCTCGAACAGTCACGCCAAATTTCCATTAGCCATACCCCTACCGGTACTGGACTATGACGTAGAAGAAGAAGAGGAGGAGGAGGAGGAGGAGGAGGAGGAGGAGGAGGAAAGAGCAGGCAAGAGAAAAGAAAAAAAAAGATATTATCATATCATACAGGTGACAAGAATAGGGAAACAGACTCATACGGTACTCAAAGAAGCACCCTAAAGCCATGTGAAAACTCGAATAGCAGGAAACCCGTGGGGTAAGTTGAGCTAAGTCGCCAGAACCCCGCCCTGCCTTCCCTTCCTTCTTCCCCCCCCTGCGGTATCCCCCACTCCGCTTCCCAAACCTGAGTCCAACACCGAAAAGGCTTTTATCCCACAGCCCAGGCACCACCAATACGGTATCCGTTATCCCTCCTTCCTCCTCCAAGCCGATAGTCTACCCTCGCAAAGCCTGCACCACACAATGCCGCCCATCCATCCACCCCACCCTCCAGACCCATAGACCACAGTACTCTACAGAATCCCAATTGGGTTGGACGAGGAAGTAAATTTAGCATGATACAGCACTCCATTTAACGGTTCATCACAATTTATATTACCATACCAGCCACCTCCAAGCACAATACCGGTACCGCTCTGCGGATACACAGGATGCATACCGATAGTATAAACCCACCCACCGTGTCCCGCTTCGGCAGTGGCCAGTATGGTAGGTTTGGCTATGAAACCGGCCACTGCGAGTAGAGAAAATCATGTCCGTGCTCTACTATACCGTCCATACAGCGGTCCATCAATCGCGGGGGCGCACTTGATTGAACCGCGGAAACCCTTTTACCGAGCCAGAGGGCTCCGGCATCCTATCGGTGTGGAAGGGTGTGGCTTTACCGGTACTGGGTTTAGGTCGCATTTTCTGGGTGTCTTGGCACTCAATATTTTCCGTATATAGACAGGCTCTTTCCCTTCCTGTTCTGCAGAAGAGAGACACCAGGACAAACACCACATATCGACGGGTGATAAAACAACGTTTGCTTCTTCTCCTCCTCCTCCCCCTCCTCCTATGTTAATAGCCGCGCTATCCTGCCCCCTTTCCGGTCAATTTCCTACAGCTTGTGCTACAGTACCGGATACCGCACAGTCTCGCGGCCAATCCCCTTTGGTCGGTCGAGGACTCCATCCAATCCCGGAAGCCAACAGAGACATTTCCGCACCGCTAACTTACCCCCGCCGCCGAGTCGAAGCGACGCAACCAGGCACCGAAATTGACTACCGGCACGATACGAGGTACGGGCCACTCACGTATTGGATGCTGACCAAGATCCCCCCACCATCCGCAGAAGGCGACTCCGACTCGGCCGCGCGGGCGGGGCCACCGTACCGTACCGTTGCCCAACCATGTTTACTCCAGCACCGTACTCGAGTACCGTAGTTCTGCAAACTACGGGTAGAATACCGGTAGCTTATCATAAAAAGAAACCCCCCCGCGAAATACACACACAACCAAGAAAGTACGAGTACAGTACGAGTACCCGGCACTGTGCGTGCCGTAACGACGATCATGCATTGTACTTGTAACCCGATGCAACTGTGAAAAACAAGCTTTTTACCCTCCCCTTCCCAACCCATCGTATCTTAAATCCCCGTCCACCCGTCCACCCGGCACCTTGCCAACGGCAATCGATCATACGGCAAAATGCGACACCAGCAGATCAAAAAAAAACCCCCCCCCCACCAAGATGGATGATCTCACATGAACCGCCATCCCCCCCTTCCCCCTTTCTGTGCCACCTATCGCAGTTTGAGATTAAATTTCGCGGGGTAATATACAGTACAATACAGTACTTGTACATCAATCCCTGTATTTAACACCATGATATTTTTTATCTCTGCCGTTGCCTCCGGACCAATTGGTAGGGGTTTGGTTTATTCCGGATACGGTGACCAGAGATACCGTAGCTTTTAGCTTCAAAGGGAGGAAGGATCTGGGAAGGTGGGGAGGACTGATTACTCTACTATGTCGTAGCGGACTACCGTAGGCGGGCGGGGGGGGGGAGGGCTCCATCGGAATAATATGGTACTGTACGAGTACCTAGAGCACGGTAGAAGTGAGCAAGTTTGTTCATTTATTAGCTGGGGGGAAGGGAGAGGCGGAAAGTATCGTTCGGTGGAGGGTTAGACTATTTGTGTCGGATGAGATCGAATGAGTGAGATGTTGGAAGAGGTGAGGGGAAGCGCAGCCGAGTGGAGGAGGAGGAGGAGGAGGAGGAGGAGGAGGAGGAGGAGGAGAGGCCTATGCTGGCTAACTGGATGCGATGAGCTCGACAGCGTGGGGTGGTGTGATTTCCGCTCTTCTCGAATCTGTTTTACGGAGTCCTGCGGGGCGGATGGATAGATTGCTGGAAGGATATAGATTCAAACTGCCTGCCCCGGCTCGCCTTTGCATCCTCACTACTCTACCCGAATGCTTTTCCCTCCCTGACACTGTTCTCGACGAGAACAAGCTTGTGCGGGGAGTTCAATCACTGCATATCACGACTTCTCACTCGCATACCCACACTTTTTTTTTATATATCCTTTCCTTTTTGCTGGGCCGTCTGTTTCCATTGCGACCGAATCTCCGAAAACCCCGGACGCCAAAATGTTCATCTCATGCCGCCCGCTCTGATTGGCTGTATTGTTTCGGATGCATATTCACAACATCGAGTACTGTACCGTACGGTACTCGTACAATACCGGTAGACAATCGCGCCGGTGCGGAAGGGACTATTGGGAGCTTTTATGGTATCATGCACCCACGAAACCTGCGTTATTACTATTACAAAATACCATTACTGTAGCTCGCTTGCAACAATAATCCCCCTGGCAATTCAAGAAAGCGGACATATATAAGATATGCTTGGCAAACAATGACTCCATTTCAAAGAGGATCTCCCATCGCTCCACGTCTCTCGGTAAGCAAAAACATCCATCGCCTGCACGTGTACAAGAAAACAACAATCCCTAATCCCCGACTTTTTTACCTTCCCCCTTTTTGGACAGCGACATGACTTCTACGCACGAAACTCCCCATGAACCGATAATGTTACAATGGTGTAGCGAAAATAGAATTGACAGAAAAAGAGAAGCTTGAAATCGGCGCTATCAGTGGTTGCCCCCATATCTCCCTTCGTTATATCCACCCCCGCCGAACGGAGGTGGGGGAGGGGGAGGAGGAGGGTGGGCGTCGGGGGGGTTAAGGTGGGGTGGTTGCATGTGTCCTGGCTCTCTGGGTCCCGGATCCGTGAACCGGTCCCTGAAGCCCGCGTCTGGCCTGACACTTGCCTGCCTCCCTGGTGTGTATTCCCCATCGCCATAAGCCCTAGCTGGGTCGGGCCTCACGCTGCCATGTCTAACTGAGGACTCTCTACCATGAAAGTAGCTGTCCATGCCATTGTAATACGGGCGGTCTTCGCGTCTCGGACTAGCTCTACCGGCCTCCGGCCTGTATTCAACGCGACGTTCCAGATGATCTTCTGGCCTCACACTAGCCCTGGAGGAGGGATACTCTGGCCTATGCTCGGCGGCGTAGCCACCTGTCACTGATTGAGGTGGTGGTGGCATCGATGGTCTTGCCGGAACATAGGGATAATCACGGGCCCTATAGCTCCTGTCGTCGAATCCTCTGGGAATAACGCTGCTCTCGGGTCTCGGCGGGTACTCGTCAAAGCGCATAGGGCGATAAGGGTCATAGTAACCCGCAGGTCTCTCCCGGGGTGGACCATAATAAGACGCGTAATCTCCAGTGTACTCAGGACGATATATGGGAGGCTGGGGCGGCTGGTAAGGCCTGCTGTACATGTCAAGGCGATGAGGAGACGGTGGTCTAGTCATTCTAGTGGGTGGTCTGTACTCTGCCCGGGAGACTGGACGCGAATCCCTTGGATTGCGGACTCTAGGGGGCGAAACAGAACGCGGTGAACGTTGAGGGTAGTTAACTGGCGACGCCGACCTTCTACCAGAGCGCGTAGGGAGACGCGAAGGTACCGCGGATGGGGCCGTATATCTACGCTCATACTCGTCATATGGTCTAGGAGTATGATAGTATTCTGGATCGTAGGGTGGATAGCGAGTATACCCAGACGCCGGCGGCGGCGGAGGAGGTGGTGGTGGTAAAGAATACCCAAAAGAATCGTACACAGGATGGCCCGGTGCGGGTGGGTGTGAATGAACAGTAGGTTGGTAGCCATAGCGCGACGGTGGTGGGGGAATTGAGTGGTAATCGTGCCGCTGTCGTTCATCGTACGCGCCTGCAGGACCCACCCTTGTGGTACGTGAAGGGTGAACATCCGGGAACGGCGATCTGGGTTCCTGCTTGATAAGAGGAATTGGGGAAATTGGAGAGACGTTATCTCTACGTGACTGTCTATCCGGGTTGCCTGCATATCTTGAATACGAAATTTCATCACCGTTATCCTCAATCTCGACAATGCCTCTTGGGCCTTGAGATTCCACACGTGCCATGTTTGCCGGCCGAACAGGCTGGGGGGCAGCAGGAGATTTAAGATGGCTGGTGGCTGAATATCGAGGGCTTGCAGGAGGGGAGTAAGGGCGCTCCTGCGCAGGTGCTGGTTCATAGCCATCATTATTCACGTCCGATGGAGCACTCGCTCCCTTAGGCGATGGCATAGCGGGAGCCTGAACCTTTTGAGGCTCATAGGCCGCATTAATGGCCAATCGCTGTGACGTTGATTCTTCGATCGAAGAAGTCTGCTTTTCCGAGTTGAATTGGCGTGAAGCGAGAGACTCTTTAGGAGGTCTACGAGAGGCTTCAACCACAGTTGGAAGAGCGCTCTCCACTGGCCCATCCCACGTTTTCCTTGACACGTGTCTATCTTGATGATGCACCTCAGGATTCCCTGCGCGGATAGAAGTTTCTGAGTTTTCATTGCTCTCGGCGATTGGCTTGCTAGGGGCGGAGTTAACCGAACGGATTGTTTCTTTGAATGGAACGCCAGCTTTTTTCATAATAGACTCCAGTTGGTCAGAAAACACATCGGTACTCGAATCCCATAAGTCAATGTGTTCAACAGGCTCAGCACCGGTCCAAGCCTTGGCTTCCATCTCAAGCTTTCGTTCACGTAGTTCTTTTTCAATCTTTTCCCTCTTCAACTTTAACTCCGAGGCCTTGACTAAAACATCAGGTTTTGTCAAAAGGACATTGTTGATTTTAAGGTCTGTACACTGAGGAGCTTGTGGCCCCGGCGCTTGAGAAGGTTGAGCTCCATCAGATGAGGCGGACGGAACTTTTTGTAGAAGCTGAGGAGTCGTTGATTGCGAAGATCTTGGACGATTTGCTGGTTTAAATCTAGGATGTATACCATCGCGGATTTGATCGCGCAGTTGTATAATCTTGACATACTCGCGAAGCTCTTCTTCAGATTCCTGCAACGGGTCTGAGTTACCAGGCCCCGATTTCAAAACATCTGCAGGCATTGCGCGAATCTGCGACAGGACGCTACGGTGGTTACCCGATGCGTCGATTAATAGAGCGAAGTACTGACTCCTGGCCGCGGAAGGCGGTGCAGATTAAGGATCTAGGGAGAAAGTGAGTGAGTGGAGCCAAAGCTCAAGTGAGTTGTGCGTGTGAGATGGGGAGAGGGGAGTGGTTTGGTGGAAGAGGAAGGTAGGGGTGGAGTAGGTGACGGGGTCATAAGAACGATCAGATAAAATTGAATCCTTGGCTGCCAGCCCCATGCGCCCTATTCTATCAGTGATAAGATTAGATGAGATAATGACTAGTCTAAGGCCGCGATAAGACCTCCCTGTCCGCGAGCCCAACACAGCACTTGACCTACTTGAGTCACTTTCCTCCTCCCCCTTCCACTTAACCAGCAAATAGCCTGAGAAGCCGACCTGGTAGCCTCTCTCAGTTCCCACCATGGCCGCGGATGCTGAAGGTAATCTGCCTGTGTTCTTTTTTGATATTGATAATTGTGTATGTGGGTGCAGTCATTTTAAGTCATTGGGCCTTTGAATTGACCATTTGCAGCTATATTCTAGGAGTAAACGGGTATGAGCTCTGAGAATCTGGTGGAAATTTTGGGCGAACGTACAGGCAATTGTATCTGTGCTCATGCCTCTCTAGGTTCACGACATGATGAAGGAGCTAATCAACAAATTCTTTCGAGAGCGACTCCGTGAGACTTGTTCGATTCTGCATGTGTATGAGCTAAGCTCACTGTGAGTCCAGAATTGAATCCTAAGGATGCCGAAACTCTTCACGAGACGTATTACAAAACCTACGGTCTTGCTATTGAAGGTCTTGTTCTTTACCACAAGATAGACCCCCTCGAATACAATAGTGTTGTGGACGACGCACTTCCGCTGGATCAAGTTCTCCACTCTGATCTGGGGTTAAGGAAGTTGATTTCGGATATGGATAGGACGAAGGTGAGGCTTTGGTTGTTCACCAACGCATATGTCACCCATGCAAAGCGGGTGGTCAAGCTTCTGGGTATCGAGGATCTCTTTGATGGTAAGTAGTGTCCTGTGACAGAATCCTCTAACGCTACGGCTACGCGTTACTACTCGCATTTTTGCTGACAGATTTTAAGGGATAACATATTGTGACTATGCTCAAGAGAAATTAATCTGCAAGCCCCAGATTGCGATGTTTGAAAAAGGTTTAGTGCTGTGGAGAATCTTGTGATCGAGAGAGTTCGCTAACAGATTATTTATAGCTATGAAGGAAGCCTCGATAACTGATCGGTCGAATTGCTACTTTGTGGGTAAGTTTTTTAATTTCTGGCACCTGGAGCTAAATTTTATGATCCAGACACTTACGGGTGTAAAAACCAATCCAGACGATACGACGATAAACTGTCGAGCCGCCATTAGCTATGGATGGGAAAACACCGTCCAGAAGCTGGAGCCTGGCGATCCAGAACCACCAGTACCAGCCGCAAAGCACAATATTTGGAATCTCGAGGAACTTAGGACTTTATACCCCGAGTTTTTCAAGCAGCCAAACTAGATCTTTTTTGTTGCATATGCTCCTGATGGTGTTTCCTGCTGGAAGTGATCGACTGCGGAATAGTCTTGATCTTTGGTCCTGCAATAAATAGTGGAATAAAGCGAAACTTGGTGGAGTCTATAATGGGAAGCTGCGAGCCTGATTGATATGGTCACTAATATTATGTCCTATTGGGGGGCCCTAAGAGTGAGAAGGCCTATGTTCTCTTGGATATCTCGTTCAACAGCTCCGGCCACTATGGCCTACCCGTTATGAACCGCGCTCGATTAGGCTTTCTAGAAGGTTGTAAATTTAGACGGTTCACTACCGGTGGCCCTTACCACACGAGATTGACCGACCCAGGTTTCGAATGGGTGCGCATACTAAAGAGAACCCGCGAGGCGCATTGCAACATAGGCACTGTACTCCAACATCCCAACCTACAGTACCCCTCATTGCCCACAGCAAGGGGCCACATTTCAATTACTGCTCGAGTCCCATAACCCGCTGCAATAGCCTCCCGTTTTGGGACAAGATATGGGCTATCCGGGCGCTTTTACTCAGCCCCCCTTCCCGTCGACTCGGCACCCCGGGCATGCCTCTCCACCCCCCCCCCCCCCCCCCGTCGCCATCAAATCATGTGAGATCACTCGCAAAAAATTTCAAATCTAACTTCGTAATTGAGGGTGAGGTGACGTCTGCCACTAGATAGGTGAGGGATGTTTCGGTATTCAGTTTTATCCCCCGTGCCTTGCGAAGGTGTGAGAAATCTCAGGGAGAGGGCTCACTTTCAGTTTGTGAGTTGGGTGTCGACTTTATTCTGCAACCTGGGGAGTTTATTTCATTGCTTATTTAGTTTTAGGGCGTGGGGGTTTTTTTTTTTCCCCTTTCGTGGTATCGTAGGGTGGGGTACCGTATAGGAGTTCACGAAAGCGGTTGCGTGTGATACTTGTATGTTGTGTGGATTACGGCAGTTGCGCAGAGTAGATATCATGGAATGTCCTCGCGTTTTGGAAGGTGTTTGGTGGGAGGTGTGCCTTCTGGTATGTACCGCAATGTACAAGGGGGTAGTGTAGAAGTGTATCGGACGTAAAAATTGCATCGGAGAGAATGTGCACTTGCGAGTTATCGTAGTGTCATACTCGGCGGAGAAGCCTTATCGTTATTACCTGCCCACCCTATCCATCCATCCGTCCATCCGTATAAATCAGTACAGCATAGCAAACAAGGGATATAGACATCCCCCCCCCCGTTCCCCCATTCCCTCTTCCCAGTTCCCTCTTTCCACTCTCAACCCTGCCGGCCGACTGCTCCTAATTTACTATCCGCAATGAGAAAAAGTCAAAGAAAGTCCTGGCTAAGAGCTCTGGTACTGTAAGGAGCAACCGGTGTGCCTAAGACGCGACTCGGCACCGCTGGGTGGAGATGAAGAATGAGGATTGCATTATTTGCGGGGTGGGGTGTATAACGGTGGGGGGTTGGGTGCGGGGGGAACGGGGGGGATTGAAGTGTGATATTATGCTATATCAATTGTCGTGAGGGCTTTAGGTGATGTGATAGTATGGTATTGTTACTATGAGGTGACAGGGTGGCCCTGCCCCCTGTTCATTTCGTTCTTGCTTTCTACGGATGCCCACTCGCTCGCAAGTCGTTCATTTCGAGTGTTATTGGCATGATCAGTCACCCCAACCACGGATTTCACAATCTTCGGGATATGATAGAATGTATTATTTTAGATCGCAAAAACCATATCGTTTTTTATACCGGATAGAAAACAAGAACCAAATGCCAACCCGTAGAACCCCCCATATCCCATTAGCATCGCCGTCTGCGGGCCCACCCGACTGCTAGAGCCGGATCAGGTCAGGTCAGGTCAAATCATCACTTTTGTAAAACATAGATAGGCTATAGAAGACAAGAAAGGGGCGAAATAAAATCCGTAGATGGGGGAAGAAGCAAAGAGGAAATAAAGTTATCATGAAAATCACCCAGAGAAGACTATTTCCCAAACTCCTACCGGTATTCTCTTGACTACGAGACAAGTTAATTAGTGAAACCAAATCATTTCTTCTCAAACATGGCCCTTCGGGCAGCAAACGCTGATCGAGACGGGTTGTCGACCGTGGGCGTGTTGCTATTGTGAAGACTCTTTCTTGCCTCATTCCTTGCTTCGTCTCGGGGGAGGCTGAATCTCTTGGGTCGAGTTTCGGCCGGTATCCCTGAAGCCGATGGTCGGTTCGGGTCTACTCTCGGCTTCTCTCTGTTCAGGATACTGGCGGTTGATTCTGCTCTTGTATGTTGTCTTGCTACTCTTGCGGGGTCAAACACCGGCGAGTTCGTCCTCTTTGGCTCTAATCTCGAAGGCTCCGTGTTTACATTTGTCGGGTCGGGTGTTACTCTGGATGAGGGGGGCATTGGCCTGGAGCCAATAGGCCGAGTAGGAGCTCTGCTAGGTGTGGTGGGGGTACGAGCCCTTCCATGTGCGGTAGGAGAAGGAACTCTACCAGGCGTGGTAGGAGTAGGAACTCTGCTAAGCGTAGTCGGTGTAGGTGCCCGTTCTTGTGGCTGGGGAGCTACTTCTTCGGCCCTCCGTGCTTTCCTTTCCTCCCTCCTTTCCTCCCCCTGTTCTATGCTTCTGGCCCTTTCCATCCTTCTTGCAATCCTCTCCCTCCATTGAGCTTCCTTGTCTTCGATTTCATCCTTGGTTTCATCGGGGATAGTCCGCTCGGTCCTCCTGCGAGTAATTGGTGGAGGTTTCTGCTCTTCAACCACAGGTGCTTTCTTTTCTTCAACGGGAACAGTCCTCTTTTCCTCCCGTCTAATAGGGCGCTTGCCCTCCTCAACAACAACAGGGTCACTCCTCCTCTCCTCAACAAAGGGCACTTTCTTCCTCTCTTCGACCACAGGGGCGGGAACGGGGGCCGGGGCCGCAGTCGGGGCAGGTCCTGAGGGGGGGACCTCCATTTTTTCCTCAAAAACTGGTTCTGGCTCTTTCCTCGTTTCCGCAAGAGGTTTGGATGGGGCTGGTGGACTTTGCAGGCCAGCGTCAACAATTCCCAGACCAATGCCCCTCCCCTTATCCAGGTCTTTGATCACCACGTTGGTAGGAGCAGCGCTACCGGAAACGCTAGTCGTGTGCGGCGATGAACGTCCAGAAGAAGCGGTATATACGGCTCTCGACCTCGAATCAAATATCGCCTCTTCAAAGGAGTTCTTCGGAGGATCGACTGCCGGTGGTTTGGGTAAGGATCGGTCACTCCCGTCACCCATTACAGGCTCGGGCGGGGGACTTATAGGCGTTTGGGCAAACTTCTTTCTCTTTTCACCGGCCCAGGCCGCCCAGGAGGAAAAGTAGGCGCCGGCACGAGAGGATGCGTCGGCAAGTACCGGAGATACAACAGCTAATCAACCGGTTAGTACCTATTGTAGATATAAATAGTGGCCTCAAATGAACCTACTAGAAGGAGCTGTAGTGCTTGGGTTGCTGTCAGTGGACGGCCTTTCTCCTGTCTCAATAGTGATCTTTTGCATGGAGTCTTGGGACTGCGATTTCCGCTGTTCCCTAAACTTTTCAACGTTCTTGGATAGATTGTTGAAAACAGTGGATACATTCACACGGCCATTAGCAAGGGTTTTTGCCAACACCTCTTTACTATTCTGCACTTTCTCCTCCAGACGCAACTCCTGCATTTGCCTACATCATGTCGCCAAGTTAGAGGAATACTAATACATGTGGGTGCTGTGCTTACTGTAGGATTCTTCTCTGTACATCTTCCATAGTTAACCCACCAGCCATTACATGCTTTGGAGGCACAAGGTCGAACAATTCGGAGTCTATGCGGACAAAGCTAAGCCCCAATCTCTCCGTCACAGTTCAGAAGATAATATACCTGTAAACTTCTGGAAGATTCTGAAGTTCTCTGTCTTCTTCCAGGCATCCACCCAATCCATCTGGAAATCATTGGCAGGGTCACCGTCTAATGCTTGTTAGAACACCGATTTCCAAATGTGAGGCATTCCGCAGAACTCACCGATATCCGGCAAGAATAGGTTCGACTCTGAGCCTGCATGTTTTTCTAGAAATAGGTGATACTTGACGGATGATACCATGGAGAGTATGTACTCCTCGAATTGGAGCCGTATATAGTCTTCGCTACCTGTGAATCCCATGGTTTTCGGTCGTGTGGGATCCGCTTGAAAACATTAGCACGTATTTCTACTAGGTAGAATCGACAACCGTCAAACAAACATTCATCCCAAGACTCGGAAACAGATTGAACCAACACATCGATCCATCTTCTATCAGCTGCAGACAGTGAAAGTGCAGCACGCAGTGACGACGACGTGATATTAATGTTTTTATCATCAAGCTACAGGACCATTAGTTGGAAAAGGTCTCAGCATTGGAGCGAGGGGAATTACGTTAACCAGGATATCAGAATACCTATCCCTCTGCTGTAGTAGTAGAGAGTTGGTTGATCCGACGATATATGACTTTGTGCCAAAATCTGCCAGAACATCGAGTTGCTGCAAAGGAGTGTAGGGCCCAAACAAGCTCCCTTTCCCGAATATTTGGAGCGGTAATCCCATAAAGGTCAATACTGTAACTTCTGTCAGACCATATCAAGCTATAACCATCTAAGAAGGGAGTACAGACGTGACTTTCGGTCACTTGTTTTAACGGAAGTGGGTTTTTTCAATTTGGATTCATAACTATTCATATCCGGATCACCGCAGTCTTCTAGGTTTCGCAGAAGTCCTGGAATGAGAGATAGCAATGAAAACTGCGTCATGCATAGCCTCTCACAACTGCTGCCAAAAAAGAGCATCTGGGGTTTTCCCGCGTGTCAGATCAAAGAAACAGAGTGGTCTGAGAGTAAAACCTTTGGTTGCAGCAGAGCGCATTTAAACAACACGAGTGATTGATGTTTGAACTCGTATACAAACTCCCGCAACGATAAGCCTAATCTATTAGCTCTGACTTCCGAATCCCCAAAAACAGACGTATTTGAATTCACGATGCTCACCAACGAATTGATCCCTTGAGCGATCAGTCTCATAGTCCCTTATGCTCGCCCTTAAGCTCTCTTGGAATTTCTGTATGTCCATATGTCAGCCCGCTGTGTTCTAGAGTTTGTTCCGATAACCTTGGAGGTTTCTCACCCGTATGATGTCGAGGTCCTCAAAGTTTCTATAATTGCGGGCACCGGTAAGCCGCCGCTCGTGAACAGGAGAGAAAGAGAAGAAAGAAAGAAAGTCCCGCGAGCTCATACCTCTGCGCAAACCAAGCTGTGGTGACAGCTGATAGTTGTTGCTTCAAGTGAGAAAAGAAGAAGGTGGGACTATCCGCGATTACCACCACAGCTTTCTGAACCGTAGATCGCGTCACATCGGAGGGTCTATCCGTCAACTCGCTGGCGTCCAGCTGCCTCGTGCACGATATCCCGAACAGAGTGGTAGGTCCCGTGGGTGTTGTATGTTTCAGGGTGAAATACGAGAAATCCTCCTCCGAAGCATGAGCGCCATCCGCTAGCGCAAGAAACGGCAATAGCGGCCAATCCGATATATCTTCTTCGCTCTCCAGGCCTATCCAAGTTTCCACTTCGGGTCCCCTAAAAGGTTCGCAACAAAGGTTCCCAAGTCAGTGTGTTGTGGTTTTTTTCAACCAGAAACCGCCAGCCGAGACCCGAAGGGTATGAGGAATGGGGAGGTGGGGAAGGGGCCCGAAAAAAGAAGTACCTTGCATGGTGAAACCCCACAATGGTCACAACTGGGCTCCGCTGAGGTCTGTCCATGTGGAGATATGTAGCTTGGTGCGAAGGTTTGGGATCTCGAGGTGTTGTTCGAAATTCGAGGGCGGGAAAGGTGTAAACAAAAATAGCAAGCCTGTGTTCTCTCTCAGTAGAGCTGAAAAAAAGGAAGGGATGGAGACTGTGCAAGTAAGCGTATTTGATGTCACGGGCGTTGAGGGGCTTGAAATTTTGCAGTTGAGCCCCCCCAGAGGCACCTGACACGGGCCAATGCAACAAGCGACTGGTTTCTGGCAGGTCCACTTCCTAACCCATCGGCAACAAAACCTCCCGGCTCCAGTGTCTCGGGACCGACACCACCATACCGTATACAGATCATTGGCCCTAGGTTGGTATCCCCCGGAATATCATAGTGCATCGTCACCTTCCTCTTGATCCCTCATATAAATCCCACCAGAGTGTATGGCATCTTTGCTCTGATGGAATCCAAATACCCTCATTTCCCGGAGAAACAGGTAAAGACGGTACAGACCCAAAATCTTGACCGCAGCACAAAGCACCACATCTACTAGCCAGAGCTAGCGTCTCACTAATGTTGGAGCGGCTCCTCCGCACCTCTCACCGGTGTACCGGTATGGTGCTCTACAAATCTGTGGTGGTTCTACGGCTCTCATCTCTCGTCAGGAACCCTAATCCCTATCTTGGTGCTATATTATTCACAATCAATCATTCGTGCGCGCCTCATACTGGCCAGACCACCGCGGGGTTTTTTCATGTATGATAGCTTGCCACGGTTTGCACGCTCAGCAGAACCCCACTCTCTCCGTCTCCCGCATTGTTTTCTGCTTTGCCTTACACAAACCAAGAAAAACAGTTCCTCTTCCCTCTCATCCTTGGGGACCTACCTGTGCTGTCTGTCGACTGCTCGCGTTCCTGGGCAATCCCACAGGACGGATCCGGAGCTATTTAACATTGTGATACACGAACCGATTCTTATCCTATTGTGAGCTCCGTAACCGGGGAATTCAAAGATGTATGGCAGGGAAAGAAACTCCAGTGTATATCCAATCCTAATGCAAGCTATACCCTACGTTTACGCAAAAAGCATCGGATATATATACAACCAAATTTGAGATTTGTCCAAAGGCGACAGTTACCATACTTGCCACCAGTTCGGTCGATAACACGGCATATAATAGCAGGTATCATCAAGCTACCCAGGCACGAAGGGGGGGGGGGGAATTCAATTCACCGAGTGATAAATAATGACCCACCAATACAATACCCCTTTCGAAGACCAGTCGACTAACCACCGGTACAGTACGAGTACAGTACGAGTACTGTAACTCAGAGAAGCCAAGCATACCCGGGCAACTTAGTTTTTTCGCCTCCGGAGCACTCACATCTGCGACCGTATCCCCTACCATACATAGACTACCTATATTTACGAAAAACCCATCCATCCAGTCAACCGCACACCCGTGGGAAACCACCAGTCCACCAGCCAACCAAACTCCACCAAAGTCCAGCGAACCAAGCCAACCAACCACTACTCAAGTGGCCGGATTGAGGTCAGAAGGTGCCTAAGCGAGTTGTGCGGTGGGGGCTTCTGATTTGAATCCGGCCACTTGAGTAGACTATCATAATACATTACCAAGCCCTCCCACACAGCCACCCATACACGTGTACCGTAAATCACCAACCCCGAATCTTACTCGACCTGATATCGGTCGGAGTGGAAAAGCGAGGGACCAGATCCTCTTCCGAGTTCCCATTTTATATTACTCGTACTTGAGCAAAATTTCGATTCGGGCCAAGGAAAGTTTCCCCCCTTTTTTTTGTTCACCAACGAGTACGGGTAGGTTGGGGCAAGGGGAGGGGTATACGTCATTGTTGGGTTGGAAAATTTTTAAAGAGTGGAAGGGGGAAGGGGTGTAGGGGGTCGGGCCGGTAACCGGTATTGCGAATTTGTCTTAAAAAGTGTGGCCCACCGGTCTGATCCTCGTACTGTATCGTAGGGTGCACATTGGGTTGTGAGTTGCCTCCACGACGCGATACGGTACTATCGTAGGTATTAGACATACAGGTATGATGCCGTAAATCTACTCGTACTTCTAGAGATTGGGGAAGCTCAAGACTGCCTCGCTCTTCTCTCACCCCCCCCACCCCCACCTTCTTTCTTTCTTTCTCCACTCCTGTCAGGCAAATCCCATCGTGCGGACGAACGCCACGATAGGAAAGATTGTGCAATCATCTCCCCCCCACCCACCACTCCCCAGCCACAGCCGTACCTGATACCGGTACTGTACCGTACTCTATTCTTCTTATACGAGTACAAAGCCTCCGGTGCGAGACGGGCCAGTCGGTGACCCTTCTACCGAGTCGGCGGGAGCAGAAACAGTGAAAGCGAGGGAGAGCCTCGCGCGTCGGATTCAGGAGCTGGAGTGATAAATTAAAACTTAATTAAGTGAACTACTTAAAATACTCGAGCTGTGTGGTGGAAATAATCTCCTGTCCAACCATATCGGCGGGTACGGGCTGGGGTGGGAGGGAAAGGTGCACGCGCGACATACCGGTATGAGTACTTTATTTGCCACGTCGGTGGATACCGGTAAATCACTGTGCTTTTGTATCGCGTAGACTATTGCACTGTAAGTTACTTGTGTGGTAGGATGAATGATCGATGGCGAATCATCTTTCGGTCTTCCACAAAACTTGGACTATCGTATAGTACATTTATTTTTAATAATACTTCAACAACAGGCGAGAAAAAGAAGGAGAAAAAAAAAGAGCGAGAGACCACTTTGGGAAAACCCCAATGCAGACTATCACGATCTTGCCATAATATAAGACCAGTCAAGTTGCAAGATTTCCCGCAGGGTACCGTGGTCTTGCTTCCGCACGTGTACCGCATGTATACGTTTTTCCTCGTTACCCATACCCTACTCTACCCTACTCTCGCCAGCCGTTCGCCGATCCCACGGGTGAACGGTAAAGAAATAAGAAATCAAGAAGAAAAGAGAGGCGTTCGTTTTATCATGCCCCATCGTCCGCCAGTCCTTTCTTTAGGTTGCTCTCTCCGCACAGCCCACCAAGGGTCAGGTTCAACCCGGCCCGCAGCACAATAGAAAACACTGGTAAAGAAACATACGCATACGCCGAGAGGGAATATGAAACTAGACATGAAACCACTAAAGAGTTCAAAATCGAGGAGTACAGAGAGGGATTGAAGCGCAGTGCGAGCCCTATAGCCCTAACTTCACAAAGTGGTCACTCATCACTCTATGACTGAGCGGATCCGTCTACATTGTGATAATCCAAAATTTCCGAGTACCTTCGGGTGGGTCCAGTCAGCATTCCAGCTTGTAGAGCTTGAATTGGCGAATGAGGGGGGTTCATCCGTACATCATGATTTTCCATGTATCAACTGGCAGGTCCGCATCATTGAAGGACCAATCAAATTTCTCTCCCGCCACCGGTTCATCCGTGGGATCATGGTAAGGCGCCAAATACTCGTGAGCCAAAGCTGTCTCAGCAGTAATCCTCTTCTTCGGGTCGAAGACGAGCATGTGTTCCAATAAGTCGATTGCTAAAAAGGGTTAGCTAGGCGGTCGACATCTTGAAGAGCTCTAGATCGGGCTAACCAAGTGGATCTGCGTTTTTGAATTTTTCGGAAAGAGGTTGGCGCTCCCTCTTAGGGAGCGACTGGACGAACCTCAGTGTCTGTGCGAACCGTTAGCAACCGCAGGAGGAAGGACATCAGAGGGGAAAGGGAGGGGAAAGGGGGGCTTGCATTTTCGCTGCAGATTGTGTGAATAACATCATCAGGGGGTGTTCCGAGAAGTTCGGTAATGATTGAGAACTGGTTGACATGGTCTTTCCCTGGGAACAGCGGCTTTCCTTCCAGCATCTCCGCGAATATACATCCCGCACTCCAGATATCCACCTCAACATCATACTTTTGCCATGTGAGCATAATCTCCGGTGCACGATAGTACCTTGTAGAGACATAGCCAGTCATTTGGGGATCCTGAATCCGGGCGAGGCCAAAATCGCAAATCTTGAGATCACAGTTCTCGTTGACCAAGATGTTACTAGGTTTCAGGTCACGGTGGACGACGCCAGCGGAATGAACGTATTTCAGCCCGCGCTGTCACAGCATTAGCAGGCGCGCGCCTTCCATCTAATCGACATTAGGTAGCCTACCAGGATCTGGTACAGAAAGTACTGGATGAACTGCTTTTCCAATGGCCGGGAGGTCAGTAACCGGTGCAAATCGGTGCCAAGGAGCTCAGTGACGAAGTAACTATTTCAGCGTTAGGATACCGCACGTAGCTGTGTGGTGAGTGTTGTCTGCATACATGTCCTCCAGAGGAGATATGAAGATATCGCTAAGACTAATGACCTGTAAAATAATATCAGTAAAGACACGGCACAAGGTGTGAGGAAGGGTGGAGCAAGTTACATTCTCATGTCGCAAGTGCTTGAGCAGTTTCAGCTCACGATAAGTTCTCTTGGACAAAACTGGCGTACTGAAAGGCTTCATGATCTTCTTTATAGCGACAGACTGAGCGGTCAGTTGATCTTTGGCAGAGCTTTAGGGCGAGTGTTCAGCGATATTTTCCTCATGAACCACTATAGATCCGGAGGAGAGGGATCGTTTATTTACCAGACGAGACCAAAAGCACCCATTCCCACAGGCTGCAGATCAGTATATCTGGTCGTTGTTAGCCCACTCTGTGCCGGACGTTTCTCTGGTGATTCCATGAATGGCGTGGGGAAAAGCCCCACCTGCTTGTTATCTCGAAAGTTGTTCCGAAGATCTGAGCGCGGACGAATTCAGCCATGTCGAAAGGTTTGATATGCTATAGCAAAATTCTGGGTGGAAGGGCCCGGAGTCGAAGCAATCCAGGGGGCGGTTGTTGTGTTGTTCTGGGGACGATGAGGCCAGGTTGGGTTGGAGAGTGCGGTGGAGGGGTTGAACCGGTTGGGGTGGTCCAAACGGGTAGCAAACAGAACACACGCCGTTTCGTTTACCGGTAGTCGGATAAGCACAACAGCGAATAGGTTCCGCGTAGCAAACAACGGATTTCTGGGGGGATTAACTCTAACCTAAAACGGGAAGTGAAGTTGAAAAATACTGTTCTTCAACGCGCTCTAAAGATACGACTCTACTATTTCCGGGAGGAGTAGAAGGTAGTGCAGGGTGTAAGGAGGAGACGAGGAGGAGGAGGAGGAGGAGGAGGAGGAGGAGGGAGATATGGGAAAAGGGGGGGGGTGTAAGAAAGTAGAGTAGATGCAGAATAAAATACGGTAGAAGGGGGTTTTGTCCCAAGATGAACGATGGACGAGGGACCAGATTGCAGAAAGGATACTTTCGCTTTTTCTACTGTACCGTATGTACCTTTTCTCTCTCTCTTTCGGACAACCGAATCGCGGTAGGTGGTGGAAGTCAGGATCTTTCCTTTGCCTTGGGCTCCCGAAATTCAAGAGTGAAATCACCGTGCATCAAAGGCGCGGGGGCGCGGGGTGAGGGCGGGGCTCATTCTGGCGGGATACCGGGTTCCCTATCCATTTTCAGCCAGCCTCGACTTTTGACCATTCGAACAAGGAAAGACAGTCTTCCCGAGGCTCTCGCCGTTCAGTGATAGGTAGACTACCTATCGGTAATATACGGTACAGTAGGGCACCCGTCTCTCGAGTCTTCCCCTTATAGGTATCGAACCGCTGCTCCAACTCCACGTATCATACCGTACCGGTGAGTGAGTGTCGTGTGGCGCAAACTACACTGAGAACATTCTCCCCATGTCCCTTGTTATTTCAATTGTTGCCTTTTTCCCTACGGTACGCTTTTACGGTATGGGAGCGGTGTTTCTCATGTCTGCTTTTTTTCCTACGCCGTTGGGCGGAAGAAGTGTCCGGTCTCTCGTTGTACGGCGCCATCTACCCCCATCGTCACTGAACGGCAGCCACACCGTTGGAGGTGCCCGTACGCCATCCCGACTGGCCTGCCTGCCTGCCTGCATGGGAAAAGCCCCCGTGGCTCACACCAACAGCCTTGCTACGAACCGGTGCCCTGCTTTGGGCCCTCACATGTGTTACCATAGGATATCTTTGATTTAGATGGCGAATCGAATATCACACCCGTACTCGAGTATGGTGTTAGAAGCGGTGTTAGAAGCGGTGTTAGAAGCGGTACTCTAGGGGGGAGGTCTGTGGACCCCCTTGCCACAGGGTGGCTCGCTGCCAGACTCAATGTTGGTCTAAACGTCAGAGAAGTCCGGCTGACCGCCCTCCCTAGAATACAAGTAAATTTACTGTACAGCGGCATTCGTAAAGTCCTCCTCTCCAAGCACCCCTACGATAGCCCTTGGAAGCGCTTCGCTATCCCTCTCTTTCTTATTGCTGGCATACAGTAAAATGAATTGTGATAAAGTTTACAATATCCCTAGGACATATCCAAAAATACTGTAAATTTTGTTATCCACCGGTAAAATGCTCTTGCTATTCTCTTGTTATTAATAGGTACGAGTATTGTCCCTGAGGAAGGAGAGCTTTGCGAGTGCGGCTCTTCTCCTACTCGAGTTCAATCGAAAATAGAAGTGGGGCGGGGGTGAGGTTTGGCACCCCATTTGTCCCAGCTCGCGACGCCAGCCCTATTCCACCGAAGGGGAATAGTTTCTTAGCAGCGCACCGGTACTCGAGTACAGTACTCGTACCAGTGGAACAGGTTCAGGGGCCCAACCGTCGGAGAGAACAGTTGATGAATGGAGTTGTCACAAATTAGAGACTTTGCGATTAAACATCCAGAGTCAAATCCTAGCAATCCCATTGGCCCGGAACCCCACTTGACTCATACCTGCTCGTAGAGGCTTTTCTCAAAGTCTATTTACCGAATTTTACTGGTATCCGGATCACGGCCTGCGCTGTTTTCCTCCGGGGAGTTAAGTTAGATCCCCATACTCACTTCGCACTGCTACCGTAGTAGACTACCGCTATGCCCCTTCAGCAGAGGAGATTTTGTGCTACCCATTAGGACAAATGGGGTGCCGAATCTTGGCTGAGAAGCACGAGTAAGTACAGTACCGGTACACATTTCCCCTCGACAGCTCCTACTAGTACTAGAGAGTTTGCGCAGACAGACCTAGGTGGGAGTTAATAGCCATGTTGCTAGTGGTTGCCACTCCCATCAACAGCCCATCAGACTCCCGACAATTGTTGAGTTTCTTAAGCTCCATCCATTTAAAAGGTCAATACACTAGCCAATACTCAACTTTCTTGAGGCTGCTCTTGTCAGGATTATCTTTGAGAATCATGGCTAAAAAATCATACCTGAATGGAGGCATGAGGGTGTAGTGGAAGTGGGCATTTATGGCCCTCAATTCCAGGTCCGATTTTTGGGTTTTTACACCTCGACTAGGTGGCTAAGCCTTGTTTCTAACTTATATTAACACTACCTAGGTCTCACTGCGCACCCTCTACTGTGCCAGCGGTTTGGGCACTACCGTACGCGGGTGTTGGGGATGATCGTCGAGGGATTGTCGTATCAATCATACACTCGCGAGGGGGAAGGAAGAGAAAAAAAAAGCCATATGTTAGTTCGAAACCCAACAGAACAGCACCTAATTCATTCCCCGCCGGGAAAAGATGTATAAAAAAGAGTTTAGCACTGCATCCCGAGCGACAGGCCAAATGTGTGGAGCGCCTCAAGTCCAGAACCATCCGAGCGCAGACCCAGGATACCTTAGCTTCGTAGGCCAGATTACAGCGGTGGTAGAGAACTGGAAGAGGAGGGAAAACAATGGCGTAGGCTCTAGCCATCAGGAATCAGGATCGAGTGAGAACGAATGATCCTGGGGTGGACATCTGCCCCCCCCCAGGTCCACATGAGACATGAGTTTTTCCTCTCAACCTCTGATTTTTTTTGATTTTTTTCTATCATATCATACCAGGAACAAATATTCTTGGCATAACTATGGAACACCCGAAATTAAAAAGGCGTGAGGGAGGGCCAAAAAGGAACAGAACGTGAGGAAGGAATCGGAATCCGGGAACAGTGGAAGCAGAAATGGAAGGCGAAGGCGAAGGGGGGAAAGAGCTGGGACGGGCAATACCGGCGAGCTATGTATCATACGCTAATTACGAAGAATTCTTCCTGAAGTCTGATCAATTCTCGCGCCGGACCTGGCGACAAATCCCGCCAGGGGGGGTAAGTTATCGCCTCTGGATCCGCAAGCCCTGTTCACCAAGTCTCACTCGATTTTTTCAGCCCTCCGACGCTTCAGTTTTTGTGAGCACAGGCACTTCCAAGTCACCGCTATGTTCTTGCCGAGCGCGTTTGCCCTCACCCTGGAACCGGCAAGGCCTGCTGCGGCTTCATCAGCTCGCCACGGACGCCTATCTCCGATGATTAGCGCGATGGTATACCGGTAGTGCAAGCACTCCGGAACGTGCCCCAGGCTTTAAGCTATGATATTTTTAATCCATTATGGAGAACCACCAACACCTTCTATTGCCACAAAAAATCACCACATTGTAGAGAATATCAAGGAGAATAGTGTAGTATTTTTTTTGTGAATTAAAGGTTCTCATGTTTCTCTATAATAATTTGAAATAATTTATTATGATAAAATATGTATTTCAATGGAAGCCCTTAGTATAATAACCCTTAAATCTAAGATTTATCTAATTTTCGGAGACTCCTATCATAGCATTCTACTGAGCTAAACCACCTAACACTGAAGTTTTAGCCTCATGCACATTTTGGAGGACTTGCACCATAGGGCAGGTTAATAGAACGACAGATCGCCACTTCCTTTTTATGCATAGGCAGTGGTCTACCGTATACCGCGCCATCTGTACTGTGTACAAGTATAGATAATGAGAAATTAAGGCTTTTGTCTGCTACACCTCAGCATCTATTTTCAACATCACTAACCGGTTCCTCCCGCGTAAATTCTTCCAGATCCCTTTCGGGTCAAGAGGTTGAGTGACTGTGGGCTGTATATATCCCCTAATTCAGCGGGGTAGATAGATGGCATCGTTCTGACAAATTTGACGACAACGCCTCGCCTAGGCACCTGACACCTTCCTGAGCGGCCACCCAAATACCGGTTATACCTCACTACCGCCTGAAGATAACCGTACTTAGTTATGGGTGTAGGTTGTCGAATAGCCTAGTGGGAGGATTCGGACGACCGGACAATCGTAACTGATTCTCCTCACGGAAAACGGGAGAATTGTTATCTGGGGAAGGGGTGGGGGATTGCCAGAACAGGCAAGCAGGTTTTGTGCTTCCAAATCCCTGACTGCCCACTGGCATAAGCTGTCAATCTCTTTTATTCTTGATATAGTTATCCAGCTTTCGTGAAAACTTAACCACCTAGATCTACTCGTTCGGTGAAAGTTAATCTCTTCCCCTGGATGAATCCCCATCGCAACCACGACAACCTTCGGGAGAGCCACCGCCGACCATACATTCGAATAAACTATAAGACAATAAAAGAAGTATCCAATCTAACCGGGACAAAGAGATTCTCAAGATTCCCACGGACCCACAACGCCGTTGGTGAAATTGGTAGTAAACCTGTGTTGACCTCGAGGATACAGGTGCGAGAGACTGCCGAGCAGCGTTTGCCAACTTTGTACTCGTCCCCCTCCCCGTGTTCCGCTTTTCCTTGCAGCAACAACGAAATACCACCAGGGAAATGGGGGACCTGGGGTGTTTTTCGGGGGGGTACTGTACCAACTCATGGTGCAAGGCAAGAAGAGGGATGAACTCGCAAAGCGTGTTCACATAATGTCACTTTCTGCCAGTGAGGGTTTCCAAACCCACCATTATTCATCTTAGGGACTGCGAAAGCATCCGGAAATGGCCAATTCCAGGTGTGGCCTGCGGAAAGACATGATATCAAGTGCTTGATCTCCCCAGTTCATCCAGTGGGATTATGCCCGGACATGTGATAACTCCCGGCGCCTAGCTCTGATAGCGCAACATCATTTATAATGCTGGAAAAGCGATAAATTAACGGCCCCACGATGTCTCGGAGACGGAGACCAGTGTGTTAGGGTGGCGGCTCGGCGTATAAAGAGAAATTTAAAGCTCAGGGATCGGATCGCTCTCAGCTGCCAGATCTGGCGAAACGCACCCCCCTCCCCGGGAAAGGCGGGGGGGACAGCGACATGAGCCGTAGGATAGGGGAGCCAGCTTTAGCACACGGAACTGATGTGATACTATAGGGATGTATACACCGGCTATCTGGGCCCCCCTCATCATAGTCCGCTCTGAAGAAACTTTATTGAGGACTTCATGGCACACGGTCCAATTACTCGGGCTCTTACAGTCTATGGGGCTACTTCCGGGCTCTTTTTATCTTCATTCTGCTCATTTCATACTCGACTAGGCATGTGAAAACTGCAGTGCCTAATACACTCATACAAGAAGGAATTCGTTGACAGGGCCAGATTCACCCCCGGTTTAGGAGACAAGTGTGCCAACGTGCGGAAAAGTGAAATTCAGATAAATAATGAAGGGGGGGACCTTAAATTTCTCGCAGCGGCCTCAGGTTGGCTTGCGTACATAGCTCTTATATTATACAAAAACAGTATCCAAATTAGCGTAGACGCCTTGCACCTTCCTCCATTTTAGGGTTTTTGACTTCTGCAATGGTAGCCGCAATTGTTGTGAAGTCTGCCCCAGTGTCTGCAACTGTGGCCGTGTAATATCCTCGCACACCAGATGTTCCTTATCATCCAACTTTCTGTGCTCGACAACCTTGAGATCCGTCCCCCGTCGTCCATCCAGGCAGACAAGCGCATGCCCTGTCGGCGTCATGACTTTTAGCAGGGTCAAACCACTGCGCAACATGGTATGGGTGCTCAACGGGTGATCAATAGAGAAGCCTGATCCATCCTGCGATTTTCGTTTAAATACGGCATTATATGGTCCTCGGGTAACCAAGTTTGTTCCGCTCTCGTCATGTAAGAGGTTGGCCATGATGAGTTGGCCGTCGATTCCTGTGACAGTTCCCAATTCCGTGACACATCGACAGCGGACTCGGCGTAGCAGAAAATCTCTCCAGGACCACGCTTCGACTCTCAGGCTCTTGCAAACAAGTACAAAAAACGCGGCAATTACCCACAAATATGTTGCTATATTGAAGGGGTCCACACCCTTTAGGCGAGTCTGGACGGTGAAGCCTATAGCGAGCCCACTTAAAACTAGGATTGCCGCTGCGAGAAGGACGATCAACACATAATTCGGGCAGTTTACAATCACAGAGTTTTCTTCATATATCCATTCCCCCATATCCTCAGCAAGCTTCTGCAAGCGTTTGCTGGAGGCCTCTTCGGTAGCTGTCCTTTCAAGCCTATTGTCATAACGCCGTCCGTAAAACAGAGCATTCCTTGAAAACAGATTGTTGCCGACTGCCTGTGACAGCTGCAGCGCATCTCCGTGAGAACTGTTATCCTTGAGATCTTTGGTGAACATATGGAAGAATGCATCGAATTTGCTTTCTGCATAAGGACGAACTTCATCCCCAATATTCCCGTTAAGGTAAATGGTGCCTTTGAAGTTATTCAAGTTTGCTAAGAAAACTGGAGTCGTGGCGGCAAGGGGAACCATGACAGTAATAATTTCTTCCATATTGGAAAGTTTCACCTCAGACAGAGCAGGTTCTTGATGGTCACACTTTTCGTCCTCATAATACCTCCATTCAACTGTCGCGTAGGGGTCCTCCGTTTTTGCGCCGCGTTCCGGGGGGGGGGGGCTATGCTGCTCGAGACCGCGTAAACTCTGATTTAAGATACCGAAGGCTGAATGAGCAATGTTGAGGTTATCGAGGTCCGAGGTCGCCGAGAACTGGTGGTCACGGTCTTGGAAAAGTAAAGCCTAGATACTCGTGAGATTTTCAAATCCACTTTCATAGTATGGGCTCACCATACATACCTTGAATCCTTCGAATCCTGTCTCATATACTATGGCACAAACATCGTATGAAGTCAGAGGAAGTCCTGAGCAGTTTAGACACCGCAAAGACGCGAATATATAGCTCAAACCCGTCTCTATCACTCTGCGCAAGGCTCTCTGGTGACGGCAGTGTTCTCTTATGGCGGCGGTTTCAGAGAGTTTCCGAAGCTTCTCGTTCCAAAGACCCTCGCCCTCATATTCATCCTCACCATCCTCGCTATCCTCACTATCCTCACTATCCTCACCATCCTCACGGTCCTCGCCTCCATCCCCCTTGAAATAACCGTCCCTCAATCTTTCAGTCCGATTAAGCATACTTCCCATGTTCGCCAGAGCAATTGAGGAACATGTGGGAAGGTCTCGCAGTAAGATTTTAGCCTTTACTACCCATTTCGCAAGCACACCCAACGTGTTGTTATGCCAATAGTCGCCGTACGCAGACTGCGTCAGCAATCTTGCTAGTACGGCAGTCACGTAATCGATTAAGCTATAAATCGTGCCCAGATCGCTGCCACTAGGACCCCAGGAAGCTAAACCTGCGGCTTCGTTCTGTGCCTCGTTCCAATCCCCCGTAACTGAAGGCTGATGACTGAGCGAACGCAAGCACTTGTTGATTTTGCGTCTGCTGACAAACCGGCCGTTGTTACACTTCATGGTGACAGCATCGTTATCGAGGGAACAGATGTGAATGGTATCCAACAGAAATTGAGAAAGGGTAGAAAGCTTTTGGTGCCCTGCCTGAAATCCCGCTTTGAGAATTTGTGCGTCAGAGAACCTTAGTGCTTCGCTTGGTTCTTTGACAACCTCTACGAGTCTCTCGATCTCTAGCCTGAGCAGTCTCGTCGCCTGAGCTTCCGTTACCAGATAGGCGCTGAGGTCGTCAAACACGGGGAAGCGCCCACTACCGGTAGTTGTGTCAGGGCTGGTTAAACTAGAGGCCGATCTGTAATGAGGGCAAATGGCTTTAAGGACGTCCTCGCAATTTGGTTTGATGTCCTTGATTTCTTTTCTATGAACCGGAGATCCCTCTTCCGCTCGCTGTCCAAGGCCTTCTACTCCGGCCGTTTGGGTTGCAGGCTTGGGCTCTCCTCGGCGGCTTTGACCGGCACGGCGAACTAAACGCTCTACCTTGGTGGTCACAGCGGATTGGACTGTAGGCCGGCGCTGAAGGAGAGGTAGAATTTCGTGCGAGGCCTCAGGAGTCTTTAGGATGTTTGGGATACCAGATTCAACAGGGCTTCGTCTGCTGGATCCACCCTGTGGCGGGAGCGCCGACACATGCCGTAGCGTTGGTGAGTGCTGGATGGTAGCGGTTGCCCTGGTTAGGTTTTCGTTTGCTGCCATTTTGCAAACTATCGGGGTTAGGTTTAGATCGTGATATATGTTATGTTTTAGAATAGATGTATAATACCTATTGAGCACAACAAAAGGCGAAAGATCACAGGTGATACTGCAGTTTAGCACAAATATCGGTAGATACTTGAAGGTCAAAATTTTATAAGCACCCTAACCAGCCCCGGGAACAGTCCTACTTTAATCTCAAACGGCTTCACCAAGCTGTGAGCAGGAGGGGGGGCCATAACCCGTTGCTAGGTGACCCTTCAGCTCCTTCGCCAGGTACCATTCCTGGCCAGCGCACGCGCGCGAGACATTTTCCAAGAGTATCATACTAGCCGTTTTCAAATGTTTTTCAAAAGGTATTCCGGATGGCTTGGCATCTTTTCGCCTTTCTTGGCGCCAAGGCATCCGGATACTTTGAAAACGGTTAGTGCAATCGACCTCTTACCTAGCCTTGGGAAGACGACAACCACCAACTTCAGACTTTGTTATCCCCTAAACCGTTGAGAGGTTCAGCCCTGTTTAAAATGTTGAACACTAGCCTATTTCGGTAACCGTGAGAGGAAAAACTTCATGGTCCTGAAGTAGCGTGGTGCTCGGAATACCGCAGAATTCGAATAGCTCAGCATTGTTGTGACAAAGATGATTGAGCCTGCGTAGATCAACTCCCGGTTACTCAAATAGGCCAGTGTTCAACAAATGGGGCTGAATGTCTCAGCGAGTTGGGGGGTGGTTTACCAGATTGTCCAGCTCCTGTTACACAGAAAGATGAGCAGCTCCCACTGCCTCCCAGAGATTCTCGTTTGCACACTGCGGTACAGTATCGATGGGGAGCTGGGGAAAACTGACACACACACAAAGGTCACTCAGCACTTCTAGATTCTGGAACTGCGGATACTTTACTACCAGACTGCAGAGACTTGTCAACCTCAACCAAAATTGACCAGACGGTACTCGAGTAGAGTGCTCGAGTACCGTAGGATCTCAAATAGAAGATAAATGTGCTAGGACATTGGAATTCCCCTTCTCGGCTAGTACGCGAGAGGAAAACACCGCAAACTCCGCCCTCAGCTAAGACAAACAAAAGAAATATACACGGCATCCTGCTAGGTGACGCAGCTCCGACGTCCTAGCACATTTATCTTCCATTTGAGTTTCACGGTATGCGCTTAGGGATACGGGTATGCGCCTACCGGTATCAGGTACGGTACAGTGCCGTTAGAAAAGTTCGGGGACAAAAGGGCTTGGCACACCTCTTGCATGACTGCTGTCTGGGTAGATGAACAAGAAGAAGATAAAAATAAAATGAAAAGAAATCAATCAACTATATCAATAGAAAGATACAGGTGTGTAGATAATATTAATATTTAGTTGGACCTCCTCGCACCTTAACAGCATTTTGTATTCTCTTTCCCATATTTTCAATCATTCTATCCATAGCTGTCCAATCTAGCCTCTCCCACTCCTCCTGTGCTACTCCTATCAGTTCTTCAGCAGTTCTGGGACATTTGTCTGGACCAGAAATTCCCTTTCGGAGTCTGGCTTTCAGCATATGCCAGATATTCTTGATTGGGTTGAGGTCGGGAGAGCTTGGAGGCCAATCACTCCTAATAAGCCCATACTCCTTTCTGCAATTCCGAGCAAGTGCAGAGGTATGAACCCGTAAACCATCCTCAATAGTTTCATGGTCTGCAGGCTCATTAGGCAAACTGTATACAAAGGGAATGAGGTAGGGCTCCAAGATCTCGTAGGTATATTGAGCAGTATTCATACCCAATCAGCCTCGCTCACTGGTACGCTCATCAGGTGTTCTTTGATGGATTGATATCAGTGAAGTGTGGCTGCCATATGTTATGGCAGCCCAAACTGATATGGAGAAGTAACCAGAATGGTAGGTAGGAGCTAGGTATCGGGGATCTGTAGCTGAACTGAGCCCCGAAGGCCGTCGCACCTTCTTTGGTCCACCTGCACCTCCAATCTCAACTACATACTCATCAGTGTAGACCTTAGATTTCCACTGCTCAGGTGCCCACTTTCTATGTAGTAGGCACCAAGTATATCTCTTCTTCCTCTTCCTCACATCAAGGTAGGGTTTCTTGCATGCAATACGTACCCAATAACCTTCTTTTCTCAAATACCGTCCAGCTGTCCATGGTGTTATATTCAATTGCGATTCAGCAGTAATTTCTGACAAAGAAGCAGAAGGATCCTTATCAACAAGGCGGCGCAGGTATCGGGCATTGCAAGCACTAAGCTTTTGGGTCATCTAGATTGATGAGCGGCGTGAAGTTTTCCTCCTCGCTTCCACCCCCTCCAAATCTGAGCAACCTCAGATTTTGACAATCCCACTTGCTGTGCGATCTGGCGATAAGTTTTTTCTTTTCCACGCTTTTCAATCACACTTACTCTTTCTTCTTGGCTTACTTGTGTCTGCCTGCCAGTTTTTAGATTTATTGGCATTGTGGTTATGGTGAGGAATACAAATCTTCGTCATATGTACGGTTGCTTAATGGTTGGTGATCAGTCCAGTTGTCCCCAAACTTTTCTAACGGCACTGTACAAGTACAAGTACGGTACAAGTTGAGCTGAGCATAAGTGACTCCAGGAAAAAGTAGAGAAGACAGCAGTTGTAGAGCCCTGTATCACAAACTGTGACTAAGTAAGGCAGATTTCACATAGCTTAGAATTCTGAGCTATACGTATATTGGGATTTCACATGACGCACACTAGTGCACTATAGGTTATTATATTTACCTGTTCATGACTCACAGTTGTGAGTCACATGATGTTATGATTTTCGCACAGTACTCAAATTATGAGTCATGGGTTTCACTCAGGGGTTGCGAGTTGCACACCTGACTTGCTTATTATGTTTTGATTGGTATTAGGTACGTTGCGCAGCGACTCATAGGAGTGGGCTGATGGATTTCGCATGAGTCATACTTATGAGTCACAGGGTTCGCGTGATGCAAAAGTATGAGTCACACCAGGTGAAGAACTAATATATAAAAGGTCACTAAGACCCCTAGTATTAGTTTTTCACACGTTCTTCTTATTTATTTCCTACCTTCAAAAAGTTGTATCAATAAAACCTACCTTTATGCTCTTTAAAGATTTATCTCAACAAACCTTAGAATTGTCTTTCCTCCCACGCGAGAAAACTATTTCTCCTCCCACATTGAATGAAGGAGTCCTAAGTGAGGACTCAGAAGAATAGGGGAGTAGGTGCGATAATATAGAAGTCAAAGAACTCGACTATCAATCTCGCGTAGGCTTAGGCCTAAGAACTATTACCTCGCCTCAAGTTAAGGATCGTTACCTGTCATATTACTTAACCGCTGGGCAGGATACTTAACATTAGAACATGTCTACAATGGGACACTTAATGATTACACAACGGATCCATTCAAAAGAGACCACAAGGGAGACATAGACGTCCAAGACGATGGATTTGGAATAGAAGAACTAGAACAAGAACTAAAAGCCCAGTCACACCTGAACGCGCTACCTTTTCGGATGAGGAAGAAGTACCAGAAACACTAAGACCCAAAAGAATGTCAGGACCAGTACCACCACCAGGCCAGCCTCCAGCAGGGCCAGCACCCCCTCAGATGATTCCACATGACGAAGTGGAACAAATGATATGAGAAGCCATAAGAGGAACAGGACAACAACTGAAAGCCAAGACCCTACCATGATACGATGGAGAAAGAAGCAAGTTGCGAGGATTCATGGTCCAACTCGCAATCTACTTTGATGTAGTTGGATGGACCCAAGGGAACGACCAGGGCAAAATACAATATACTCTCACCCTACTTGAAAAGGAACAGCCCTAAAATGGATAACCCCTATTGTGGTCAGCAATACTGCACCCTGGACAGACTGGACCAGCTTCAAGGCAGTATTCAAAGCCCAATTCACGGACATAGAACTAAGCCAATTGGCAAGAAATAAATTGGAAGAAATTCACCAAGGAACAAAAAATGTCACCAATTACTGGTACGAGTTCCGACTACTCCAGTACGACGTGGATTGCGACAAGGTGTAACCGGAGCTGGTACTCGGTTAGTTTGTTTTATGTTTTGTTTTAAGTATCGGTTGATACTTAAAACAAAACATAAAATAAACTAACCGAGTACCAGCTCCGGTTACATTAAAACAAAACATAAAACAAACTAAGTATCAACCGATACTTAAAACAAAACATAAAACAAACTAACCAAGTACCAGCTCCGGTTACACAAGGCCTCCGCTATGAGGTGGTTCATAAAAGGCTTGAGAAGAACCTATCAAGATGCCTGGAGATACAGCGAGGAAAGATTTACTACAACTGAAGCGATGGCCCATTGGGCCATTCGAAAAGAAGTCTAATTTGGACAACTAGACTGGATTCAAAAGAACCAGTCAAACTCAACACAAAGCAACAATACGAATACAAGAAACCAAGGTACACCCAGGAACTAGAACGGAACCTACAGAACCACCACCCAAGGAGGTGATGCAATAGACCTGGATGCAACTAGAAGGAGACCATTACTCAACCTTCCAAAGGACAAGTACGTTCGACGACGAAACAACAATCTATGCCTAAAATATGGTATAGGTGGACACATGATCAAGGAGTGCAGACGACCCGCCAACCCAACTCCAATGCAAGGAAGAAATCAGCAAAACATTAGGACGAACCCTAGGTTCCAACCACGCAGCAACTTAAGGGAGATTGAAATTGAAGGCAATTATGAGATGGTGGCAAAAGATGAAGGTCCCCAGCAATAGATGGTCTGCGGGACCCTCCGAAAGACAAATCCATCTTGATGACCAATTACTACACTCTTTTAAGTGCAAATACGGAAGACAACGACAATAATCATATCATGATTGAAACTAAAATATATAATGACCAAAAACAAGCAACTATAATTTACGCAATGCTCGACTCAGGAGCTACGGAAGACTTCATTGACAAAGGGGTCTGCGACAAATATCAGTTAAAAACCAAGAAAACAAAAAATGAAAGACAGATTTACCTAGCGGACAGAAAACCCAGCGCAATGGGACCGATAACCCATACTGCGCAAGTACCTATGACCATTGAAAACCATAGGGAAGTGACTAC